TTGGAACTCTCCATACTCAACAATATGATGCATGGGTAAGTCTTCTATTATAACCTTTCTAGGACCTTTTGGGGGACATAAAAATATGTAAGCAAGTTAGTTTGTCCATGCTCTATGTAAAGTTTTATGACTTTGTTCCGAGTAACATATTTTGATAGATCACACACATCATCATCATCATCATTGCCTAATGCTCGTAGTCCAAAATCGAATCCTTCCTTGGGAAAATGGAAGAGGTAATACATGATTTGAGTACCATCATACCCTAACTCTCCCATCATCAAGTTTAGTTCATGCATAGGGAATTCATTAATGTCGACCACATTAAAGTACTTAACAACCCTATTAATATAACGCCCCGTTTATTTAAATAAATTAATAAATATAATTCCTGGACTAATTTGTGAAGAATTTTGATATTGGGGGCTGTTTAGTAAATTATGGAGTTGATTTGAGAAGAATAATGAGAAGCGGGGGTATGTTCGGTAATTATCAGGACTTATTATGAAAGGGAATTATGGAATCAGGGGCAAAAAGGATAAATATTGGATCTAATTTGAAAAGATCCCATGGGGAGGGACCAGGATTGTAATTATGGAAAAGTTGTTAAATGATCGGGGTATATAGAGCCGATGGCTTCTTAGTCCAAACCCTAACCCTAACATAAAAGCCGTCACCCTCCCAAGGACACCTCCAGCCACCTCCTCTTTTCTTCATTGTTTCCGATCAGACGAGTCGTCATCGAAGCGTCACCACCACCGTGACTGTGGGACTCCGTAGCCGTGAACCGCTGCTGCCGGAGACCGACGACGACAGGGACCACCGGCATCCACTCTTTAGTTCGACGACCACCTTCGTCCGTTGCTGCTGCTGCCGTTCGCCAGCCGAGACCACTAACCCTAGCCGCCACCCTCGTTAACGGAGACTGTTGAAGAAGATAAGTTGCTGCCGCCATCTCGCGCCACCGCCGCCTCAACGGCTGTTCCTTGTCGTTGTCGACCTCCGTCTACTCACGCCACCAGGTGGGTGGTTCGTTCAAATTAGCTTGCGATGCTGTTGCTGATTATGTTGTTGTGTGTGCGAGATATCCTAGCCTGAGATCGAGAGAAAAACCCACCATGGCGGCCGACCATGGTGGTTGTAGCCCTGAAATCCTTTTCTGCCACCACAAGCCACCGTGAGGTGGTAGCTGTGGGAGTGAATCCTTGGATGAGTGTGTTTTGAAGTTGTTTTGTAATCAGTTAAGGCGTATGAGTGTTATTTTGGTGATGTGTGATTGGGTTTGTTGGCCGGAAAATCAAGAAAAGCCACCGCCACCACGAACCACCGCCGGCCACCACTAGAGTGGCTGTATGTGTGTGTTAGTGTGTTAGTGAGTGTGAGTATTATTTTTTTTGGATAAAATCTTTGTAATTGTAATTAGTATCAATTAATAAAAATAATAATAACCACCACCGTAAGGTGGTGGCCGCCGCCGTGAGCCGCCATTGACCACCACTACCCGAGGTGGTAGTGGGTGGTGCCCCGCTAGAAAACCCTAATGGACCTAGCCAAAACCCTAATGGGCTTAAAGAGTAATTTTGGGCCTATTGGGCCATGTTTGGGTGGAAAACCCTAATTGTGAGTATTTGGGCCTTGGACTCTTGGACCCACTTTTGAGCCATTGGGATTGAATTGTGTATTAAGCCTAAATATCACATATTACTTATCTAGTAGAGTAAAGGACTTAATGGATTAAGTCCTTAATGGGTTAAATGAGAAACACCTAACCCTAATTGACAATTTTATGTGAAACCCTAATTTCACTTGGGCCTTGAGTGGGCCTTTCTATTGGGCTTGATGATTGAGATAATATTGGGCCATCCAAGAAAAATTAAATGGACTAGAGTAATTAGTTGGGCTTTAGAGTAAGGCCATATGAAGGATTAGGCCCAATTTGGAAAATTGGGCCATAGTTGGGCCTTGGTCCATTATTAGACTTTTGGGCCTTGGTTTGGGCCTTGGGCTGGAGTCAAGCCAAGATAGGGGTAAAGTAGTCTTTTACCCAAGTATGGACTTATGGTTATGAGTTGGAACCCAATTATTAATTGGGTGTTATTTTGGTGTTGACAGTTCGAGAATCTGTCATCCAGCAGCTGGGGTTGAGTCTGCGGGATTTCAGCAGTGTGGGATTGTGTCTACGGGACTTCAGCAGTGTGAGGTGAGTTTCCTTCCAGTAGGAACGGGTCTACGGCCACAATGCCGGCCCGTTTAGTTAGCAGTAGTTCCGGACTACAGTCTGATGCAGTAGTTCAGTATGCTTGGTGTCTTTGTGATACATGCATGGTATGCGTTATGTGTTCCGGACTATGGTCCGATGCAGTATGCAGTATATGTGTTCATATTATATGCTATGATTATGTTATGCTATGTTCAGTTAGTCCCGCACCTCGGTCCGATGCAACAGTTAGAGTGCTTGATGTCTTTGTGATTCAAGCATGTTTTGTGTTATGTGTTCCGGACTCTGTTCCGATGCAGTATGCAGTATATATATTCATGCTAGTTGATATGTTTACGATATGCTATGTTCAGTCAGTTTCCGGACTTCGGTCCGATGCAGGGGACGGGGTCCCAGTCAGTTCCGGACTTCGGTCTGATGCAGTTAGTTCCGGACTTCGGTCCGATGCAGGGGACGGGGTCCCAGTCAGTTCCGGACTTCGGTCCGATGCAGTTAGTTTCGGACTTCGGTCCGATGCAGGGGACGGGGTCCCAGTCAGTTCCGGACTTCGATCCGATGTAGTTTCCGGACTTCGGTCCGATGCAGTGGGCAAGACCCAATATGTGTTTATATGTTATTGTATGGTATGTGGTAGTTTGGGGGAGCTCACTAAGCTTCGTGCTTACAGTTTCAGTTTTGGTTTCAGGTACTCAGTTTTCAAAAGAGGAGCTCGGGAAGATTGCAGTGCACGCACCATTTGTTCAGCCTGGGATGTTTATACTCTGATATACCTGACAGTTGTTATAATATTTTGAGATACATTGCTTACGATTTTTATATGTGGTTTATTGACTATGGTTTTTATTATTAAATTAAACGAAATTTTCAGACTGTGTTTTTGGGATGTTACAATTAATGTACCAAGTCTTTGGAGAACAGTTTGCGTATTCATCTTTAAGAGAGAAAGAAAAGAATGTTAGCATTTTTCAAACTTTAAAACTTGAACATCAAATATAGAGTATCTTACCATATAGTTCATGAACGTCAAAATTTTCACCAACAGTCTTGAGTCCCTACATTTTCAACAATATGGATGAAGTTCGAACCTCACATGGTTTGTGGTTGGTGTTTTTTTGTGTCTAGAGTGGTGAAAGAGGTGTGAGAAAGATGAAAGAGTGAAATACTATTTAGGAATCATTATTGTTAATACCATATAATTAATTCAAATGAAGACGACGATAGACCAAAAATATGAAGATATTTTCACATGAAGGGAACATGATGGGCCAAACAACTCTAAAAGAACAAGAGGTAACAAAATGGACTAAAACTACAGAAAATTATTGATTTTGGACCTTCCACGCAAGTTGAAAACTTATTGGACCCTATCCACAGTTTTGAATACCACATTGACCAAATTTGCAATTTTTTCATATTTAATTTCTATTTTTACAATTACAAACTTTAGTATCTCAAACACTCTTTACTAATCTCTAACATATACACTTTATACTTTCAAACTCTTTCCGACCCTACTCCGTTTTACCCCTAAAAAGTATATTTCATTTTTCTAACTTATATAAATTAATAAACACACCTCTTCTATTAATTTGGTTTTAACAAATATATATATATATATATATATATTCATTACAATAGTATTAAATAAATAAGATTATATTTATAACACTTAATTATAAGTTTTTATAAAAACATTATCATGTTTTAAAATTTCAATATGTATTTAAATTTTAATATGAATTTGATAAACAAAAACAACTTATATATAGATTAATTAATATAACTTAATATATAACACAATATTATAAGTACTAAATATTATATTTAAATTATAATTAGTAGATAAAAAAAACCAGAAATGTATAAATATATAAAAAGAGGGACTAAAATCGACAACTCAAATTTCATCCAATTTTGGGGAAATAAATAGTATAACACAAAATATGGTGTTATACTATTCATTTATCTCAAAATGAGGGAATAAATGGAGTAGGGTTAGAGAGGAATGAGAGAAGACATAGGAGAAATAATGGAAAATAAAAGTGGGTTGGAGATGCTCAATGAGCTAGACTAATAGGGTGTTTGGCAAAACTTATTTAAAAACTCTTATGACTTTTTGACTTATAACTTATTTTGGTGAAATAATGAGTTTTTAATAATTAAGGGTAGGTTACTTATCGCTTTTTGACTTATTAGATGTTACCAACAGTTATAATTGTTTTTTTACCTAAACATTTTTTTTGACTTATACCCACATCAAACCTATAATAAGGGGGTGTTTGGCTTATCTTTTTGGGAGGCAAAAGTCCTTTTGGCAAAAGTTACAAAAAATCAGGATTTCTTAGACTTTTCCAGTTTTCCTTATATCAAAAATCCAAAAGTTGTTTTTAAAATGCTTTACCAAACATTTTTTGCATTTTATTTTTTCTAAAAAGAACTTTTCGCTATAAAAATAAGCCAAACACCCCCTAAAAAAAAAAAAAAAAACTTATTTTTTAAGTTTTGCCGAACAGACATTAACCCTGCGTAGAAAAGCAAAGATTTATAGTATATTAACAATACACGCAATTGATAAAGCTTTTGACAATCGATGTACTACCTGTTCTGAGCCTCCACGATTTTTTGCTCTTCTTTCCCTTCGAATGAAGGGGCTAAATTATCCTTAAGGTTTGTGACGAGGATGATTTCAGTCAAAATATCCACTTCTGTTTCATTTGTCAACTGCTCTCAAGTGATTTGATGTGATCCATTACTGAAAAGAAGCTATACTAAAATGATCCAAATGCGTTTTCTGTTAATTCACTGCCGAACATATTGCTCAAATGTTACGATTTCAGAGAATCTTCATATTGCACGGTATGGCCGCCTTGGCCAAATTCACAATGCTCGCCAAGTATTCGATGGTTTACGGGAAAAAAACATCGTGTCTTGGAACTCCATGGTTGCATGTTATTTCCAAAACAACCAACCCAATGAAGCCCGGAATCTGTTCGAACAAATGCCTGAAAGAAGCACTGTTTCTTGGAACGGTTTGATTTCTGGATATGTCAAGAATAGGATGGTAAAGGAAGCCCGAGAAGTGTTCGACAAAATGCCTCACAGAAACGTTATTTCCTGGACTGCAATGATTAGAGGATATATACAAGAAGGTTTAGTTTCTGAGGCTGAAACACTTTTCTTGAAGATGCCCGAAAGGAACGTCGTGTCTTACACAGTGATGTTCGGTGGCATTATTCAAGATAATCAAATCGACAAAGCTCGTGAACTTTTCAACACCATGCCAGTGAAAGATGTGGTTGCTTGGACAAGCATGGTTGGTGGGTATTGTCAAACAGGTCGTTTAGCTGAAGCACGCCAACTGTTCGATGAAATGCCTGAAAAAAACGTATTCTCTTGGACCACAATGATTTCAGGGTATGTCCAAAACAACCATGTAGATATTGCTAGAAAACTCTTTGAAGTAATGCCCAACAAAAACGAGGTCTCATGGACTGCAATGCTTAATGGCTACACACAGTGTGGAAGAATGAACGAAGCCATGGAGCTTTTCAATGCCATGCCTTACAAATCTGTAGTTTCATGTAACGCCATGATATTAGGGTTTAGCCAGAATGGGGATGTAGATAAAGCAAGAAACATATTTGATCAAACAATAGAAAAGGATAATGCAACATGGAGTACAATGATAAAGACTTATGAAAGACACGGGTTTGAATTAGAAGCATTAAGATTATTCACATCAATGCAAACTCAAGGAGTTAAACCGAATTTCCCTTCTTTGATTAGCATCCTTTCTGTTTGTTCTAATCTTGCGAATCTTGATCATGGTAGACAAATTCATTCTCAATTGGTTAAAAATTTGTGTGACACCGATGTATATGTTAACTCAGTTTTGATCACAATGTATGTAAAATGTGGAAATCTTGTAAAGGCCAAGATTGTATTCGATAAATCTCCCAACAAAGACATTGTGATGTGGAATTCCATGATTACAGGGTATTCACAACATGGATTAGGAGAAGAAAGTTTGAAACTTTTTGATAAATTATGTTCTTTAAGCATATCACCAGATGATGTTACTTTCATAGGAGTTCTTTCATCTTGTAGTTACACAGGAAATATTGACAAAGGTGTTGAAATATTTAACTCCATGAAATTAAAACATTCAATCGACCCAAAAACCGAACACTATGCATGCATGGTGGATTTACTTGGAAGAAATGGTAGGTTAGATGAAGCAATGAGCTTAATCAAGAACATGCCTATGGACCCTGATGCTATCATATGGGGTTCTTTAATGGGTTCTTGTCGAATTCATATGAATCTTGAAATGGCTGAAATTGCAGCTAAGAAAGTTATAGAGCTTGAGCCAACAAATTCGGGTCCTTATATCTTGTTATCAAACATATATGCTTCAAAGAAAAAATGGTGTGAAGTTGCGGATGTTAGAAAAAGGATGAGATTAGAGAAGGTGAAGAAATCGCCTGGTTGTTCATGGATAGTTATTGAGAAACAAGTTCATATGTTTAGAGGGGGTGAAAGTGAAAATAGTAGTCACGTTGAGTATGATTTGATTATACAAATGTTGGAGTATTTAATGGGGTTGATAAGAGAAGCTGGATATTGTCCTGATGGGAGATTTGTATTGCATGATGTTGATGAAGAAGAAAAGGTGCATAGTTTAGGGTATCATAGTGAGAAACTTGCTGTTGCTTATGGGATTTTGAAGGTGCCAAAAGGGATAGTGATTAGGGTTATGAAGAATCTTAGGGTTTGTGGAGATTGTCATTCTGCTATTAAGTTGATATCGAAAGTTGTGAGTAGGGAGATTGTGTTAAGAGATGCAAATAGGTTTCATCATTTCAAAGATGGGGTTTGTTCTTGTAGGGATTATTGGTGAATGAAAACTAAAGTGTATGTGTATGTGTTTGAGTTAAGATAACAAACTAAAAAATGAAATAATATTCGTAAGTGATGATCTATTCGTTGTTATGTTCATCTAACTATCTAAGCATCGTGAGGAACATAATAAGTTTTAGAGTAAATTACATGTTTGGTCCCTGTATACTTTTTTTAGTCAGGCAAGATTCAATTTGTGCGCTCCATAATCCAAACCTTTGGTCTCTTTCCTTGACCACCGTTAATACATATGAGGGGTATTTTGGTCTTTTTCCACTCTTAAGCCACCATACCATACGTTGATATGTGGAAGTTAAAGTGTTAAAATTGAAGTTTAAAGTGTGAAGGGTTGGAATGCTAATAAAGAAACTTGAAGGACAGATATGATATATAAAACTTTAGTTTTTCTTCTGAATGGGCGTAGAGTCATAAAGTTCGAAGGTGATCTCGTGAGATGAATTTTTTTGGATATATTTTAATCTTTTTCATTGTCTTATAACACAATTTGAGCGACACTTTTTTCTAATAGTAAATTTTATATATACACTAAAAACCGAATTGATTCTTTTGAGTGTTTACATGAATTTATTAGCTTATGCGTTTTTAATAATTGCTGATATTTTGTTTCTATTGTTAGGAATGACGTTAATTTGGATCATTTTTTTTAAGGAAAATGGTGTTTTTAAGGGATGGAGAAATAGAGAATGGTATGCAAGGATATGAAGAGCTATTAACATTGATGGCTGCATTGTTTATTGTTTAACAAGTAACAAAATGCCAATGGGGTTTGTCCCATTTGGTAAGGCGCCCCTCCCTCTTTATGAGGTTGAGGGATCAAAACCCCTTATGGGGATATAAGGTGGAGAATTTAAGGTGTTGTGTACTTGTGTACATATAGTTAGCTAAGTAATAAAATGTTGATTGTGATAACCATACAACATGCTCAGTCAGGTTTACAGTTGGCTCTTTCATTTTTATATGGTATGTTATTTATATTGTAGCTAGGTAAGTTATCCATACAGAGAGAAAATTGTAAAGTGCTTCTTAGAACATGAAGAGAGCCTACCTCTAGAATGTTGGGTAAGCTATCTAATATATATATTCTATTTGAGTCATTTGTTTTTTGAGATTTATGCTGTTGGTGTGAAGCTTACCATTTAGTATCAAAACAGTGGTTGTTGCTAGAAAAGAAAAATCTGCAAGCAAGAGAGTCAACACGGTAGAGAAAGATGTGGGTATGATGCAAGATCAGATTCAAACTCAGTTTGTCTAGATTCAACATTAGGCAGCTCTATTCTAAGTATTGAACAGAGTTGGAGAGATTACTGACAACACACGAGGAAATCATGAGTAGTTTCCCATAATTAGGATAAAAAGGGACCCTGTTTGACCGTGGAAAGAACATAGCTTAGCATGCCTCTGATGGTGGTTCTGTATTAGAAGGAGAAGAAACACCTAAGGTGATCTTTAGCGACTTGAAGAACAACGACAAAGGAGGCTCCAACGCTAGTGGAGTTCACAAATGTCAATGGTAATGAGGAGGGAGATAAATATCAGCATCACAAAATAGACATGCTAATGTTCGATGGAACTTATCCCGATGGCTGGATTTTGCAAGCGGAATGTTACTTTGCTATCTATCAATTGGTTAACAAAGATAAAATGGAGGCAATAGTTTTAAGTCCCACGGGAGATGCACTTGCATGGTTTTATGGATGAACAAGCAACAATCTCAAATTATTTGGGGATAACTCAAATTAATATCCCTTTGAAAGTTTCTTCGAAGCCAGGACGGGGATCTGTATGAACAATTGTACTCTCTTTAATAATCTGACACAATGGGGGAAATACATATAATGATTCATCGGACTAGCCCAACATTAAGAACAAACTAAGGTTGTGGGTTCCTGAAGACTTGGGCCTCACCATAGGCTTAGCCCATGAAATAGAAGAAACAAATCGGGTTATAAAATTTAGTGTGTTTCGGTTAGTGGGGTACTATATCATGTGCCATTCATGAAGTTGTTGAGCTAAAAGGAAAGGAGTTACGCCAAAGGAATGGATGTTTCTCCATGAGAGAGTGAAGTTGCACCAAGAGGTTGATGTTGCGCCATCAAGGAGTCGAGTTGCGCCAAAGAGGAGAAGTTGCGCCATCTTGAGGAGAAGTTGTGCCATCCTCATGAGATGTTGCGCCATCATGGACCATCTTGGTACATAATGCACCATATCGATTCCTTTGTTGTGCCATGCAGATGCATGTTTGCCTAGAAGATGATCATACTCAAGAAATACACCATGTTATACCACCATGATGGATGTTGGGCCATTAGTGTTCATGATGCACCACTTGTGCATCATGATGCTCCATTATGGTCAAGTTGGCCCATCATGTGCATTGATGATGCTCATGGGTTGTATGGCATGGAAGAATGTTCTAGAAGATGTTGCATGGCGGATTGTGATTGGTTGACACCTTTCATGGGCCTATGGGGCTTGGATCATTAGGGTTTTAGGTCTGATCCCTCAAGTATAAATAGGGATGCATGCTATGTCATTTTGTATCTTGAATTCTAGAGTGTTAGGCGAATCTCTGTGAAAATTGTACTTGTAACCTCTGTTTGAGAGCTCTAAAATAAAGAATACTCCCCTCCTGTCCGTGGACGTAGGTCACCTTGACCGAACCACATAAGTATTGTGTCTTGTGTGCTTATAGTTTTGCTAGTTATCCTCTTTACTTCCTGACAAGTGGTATCAGAGCTACATTTTGTATTCTTGTGATTGAAGATGTCTACTCACAAGTTTGATTTGGAGAAATTCAATGGTGCAAATGACTTCACATTATGTAAGGTGAAGATGAAGGATCTTCTGGTTCAACAAGGATGTACAGCAGAACTGGAGGGAGAGGCAACACTGCCTAAAGACATGGCGGCTGAAAAGAAGGTGGACATTCTAACAAAGGCACATAATGCCATTCTGTTGAGCTTAACAGATGAAGTACCGAGGGAGGTCGTGGATCAAACAACTGCTTCTGGGCTTTGGGATAGCCTTTGTGACAAGTACAAGAACAACTCACTAACGAACAGGTTGTATCAAAAGCAAAGGTTGTACATGATGGGTTTTACATGTATTAACGTGGATAAATCCTTAACACTTAAGGGTACATGCAACCTAAAGATCTAAGTCTTAACACTATTGATGTAACATTCTATTGAATAACAAAACCCTAGAAACCCTAGGTTAATTCGAAATTAACATAAAATGGTTTAGGATTACATACCTTATTGTTATTATAGCAAATAACAATTATCCTTGTCTTGTTGAAGCTTTGGAAGCAAGCACCACAAATGTCGTGCCTCTGATGGTTCACATCCAAGCTAGCAAGAAGGAGATTATGGAGAGATGAGGAAGGAGAGAAAAATTTCAGCCTAGCCTTTGTAATCATGGAGTGGTCGAATTCTAAGGGGTTAGGCTCCTTATATAGTGCAACAAGGAAACCCTAGATAAGCTCAAAACCAATATAATAATATTATCTTGAATTGGTAATTATTTAGCTTCCTAATTATCATCCAAGGATAATTCCAGATCTCTAAAACCCTCCTTAAAACTATCCATAGCTCTAGGGAGGTTCTTGAATGCCTCTTGCTCAACTATTAAACAATTACACTTTAACCCCTGTAGTTTTAATTGATTCCATTAATCCCAACAAATTAATTCCAGTTAATTTAAGATTAATTATTAATTAAGTATTACTATTTCTAATTAATATATTATTCTCATAATATATTAATAAATTACTTATTTCAATTTATTAATCAAATAATAAATCAACCTCTCTCTCCCAAAAATCATCCTGTCCAATTGCTAGGTTTAAGGGAAACCCAAAAGGACTGTGCAAGTATCAATTCAAGTAGATACCAATTATAGTTATGTTCTTAGACACCTAATCCAACAGTCTCCCACTTGGATAAGTCTTGAACTATAATTACCAGTATAACTTCCGAATCGATCAACAAATTGTAGCATCCATAAAGTCGTTGTCAAAATCTGACCCAATTAGATACGTGTCCTAAGATAAGTGATCAAATATTCCTCTGTTTTACATGATATCATACGCCCAAGAGACATGGATTATAATCAATCTCATTGTCTAAGATTTTTTTTCCCGATTTCTGATTTGTGGTGACGAAATAAGACTTCTAGTTGAACACATCAATTTAGTCTTGGCTGGGCCTAGCATTTATAAGTCAACATCAAATCACTGAGGGGCCCAAAGATATCGCTTTTCCCGTTAGGGAAAAAGGAACGAATAAACTTTGACTTATATTCTTGCATCTTTTACTCATCAAATCATACATGGCAGTACGTTTTATAACATCATGTTACTGATGCGTTTATGCATTACCAATGTACAACCGACTTGTAAATTACAACTCATATATCTCCGTTTTAAGAATATAAGATATTATCGTCTCAGAATTACTCGTGATAAAATCCATGAAGTAATTCTCTGAGCGTGGGTTTATCCAATACTCAAAATCCCCATTTTCTAAGTACTCATGAACATTGTAGCAATCTTATTGCAATGTCTAATCCCCATAGGCAATCTACAATTCAATTCATGATAGTCTTATTTCACTACCTACTTCCAAAAGTATGAGCGACTGTGGAATTTCGAATGATCAAATTATTCAGGAAGTAAAACATGCAATGTGAAACACAATAATAAACTAATTAACTATGGTCTCAAAACTATTGAATATAAATAAAACTCTTATTATTTAATCACCATAATAATTAAGACTTTATTCATTGTATAATGTTTCGAGCAATCAACTAACCACTTGAATTAAACATCAGCCATACCATGTTATGAACATCCATACCATGCCTCTCTATGGTCCTTCCTTTGTGAACAAATCGACTGGACACTATTCCGATGATGCGTGTTTCACAATTCCAAATTCTTGTCACTACTAAAATGTGTTAGAATTCCAACCTTAC